ACTCGTTTTCCAGATAACCCTAATCATTTACCTTCTCTACTCGACTTATGTCTTGTTTCTGATCTTAGTCAGTGCTCAATTTCTCCACACTCACCCTTAGGTGCCTCCGATCATGGTTTGGTCTCTCTAAAACTATTATCTCATTCTTCTTTATCATCAGATTCCCCCTATCATTGTACATCTTACAACTACTTTAAAGCTGACTGGGACTCTTTTCGTGATTTTCTTCGTGATGGCCCCTGGGTAGAAATCTTTCATCTTCCTATTGACAACTTTGCTTCTTACATAACTTCGTGGATTCAGGCTGGCATGGAATCCATTATTCCCTCTCGACGTTTCCAGGTCAAGCCTCACTCTTCTCCATGGTTTTCCTCGCATTGTGCTGCTGCAATTGCTAATCGAAACCATTACTTCCATATCTATCAGCAAAACAATTCTCCAGAAAACAGGCGTCTGATTATTACTGCTAGGATCCATTGTAAAAAGGATTTGTCTAAGGTCAAAGCCCGCTATTCTCAGATCATGAAATCTCGTATTTCATCACAAAAGTTAGGCTCTCGTGACTTCTGGAGAATCTTTGATAGTGTCAATAATAAGGGCAAGTCTGTAATTCCACCTCTTTTGTATGGTTCAGACTTTGTCGCCTCACCTAAAGACAAAGCTGAATTGTTTGCTAAGAACTTTTCATCAATATCATCTTTTGACTCCACTAGTTGCGCTCTACCTGATATAGCCATCAACCAGGTTGATCCATTGCTTGACATCCATATCACTCCAGCTTCTGTATCTAAAGTGATTTCCTGCTTAGACTCTTCTACAGCTTGCGGACCGGACAACATACCTGTTATAGTCTTGCAGAAGTGTTCTCCGGAGCTGTCGTCTATTCTTTCATAACTATTTAACAAGTGCTTATCAGAGTCTTGTTTTTCAGCCTGCTGGAAAGCAGCATCTGTTATCCCTATTTTTAAAAATTCTGGAGAGCAATACGATTCATTTAACTACTGTCCCATTAGTCTTCTTCCTATCATAAGCAAGGTTTTTAAATCTTTAATTAACAAGCACTTAATCTCTCATCTTGAATCTCATAACCTACTTTCTGATCATCAATATGGATTTCGATTTTCCCATTCTACAGCTGATTTGCCAACAGTAATAACTGATAGGTTTTTTCGTGCATTAGATAAAGGTGGAGAGGTTAAGACCATTGCTCTTGACATTTCTAAAGCGTTTGATAAAGTTTGGCATGCTGGTCTTCTCCATAAGCTTTCTTCTTATGGTGTATCTGGAAACATCTTTAAGATTATTGAATCCTTTCTTTCCAATCGTAGTATAAAAGTTGTCCTTGATGGAAAGCACTCTTCTTCTTATTCTGTAACCTCAGGGGTTCCTCAAGGTTCAATCCTTGGCCCTATACTCTTTTTAATTCACATTATTGATCTTCCAGATGTTCTCACATCTAAAGTGGCATTGTTCGCTGATGATACTACCATTTATTTTTGTAACGATAAGAAGCCAACTCCCTCTGATTGCTTGCAGGGGGCTTTTGAGCTTGAAAAGGATCTCACTTCTGCTACAGATAGGGCTCACAGTGGCTGTTGAACTTTAATTCAGATAGAACTCAATTTTTCCCAGCCAATCTTTATCGCTATAATTTAGACTTTCCTATATTTATGAGCGGTAATGTACTCGATGAGTCATCTACCCTTCATCTTCTAGGATTAACTCTTACTTCTGATCTTTCTTGGAAACCTTATATCAAATCCGTTGCAAAATTAGCATCTGCTAAAGTTGCATCTCTTTATCGAGCTCGACACTTTCTTACTCTGGATTCTATTCTCTATCTCTATAAATCTCAAATCCGACCTTGTATGGAATACTGTTGCCATATCTGGGGCGGATCTTCTAATGATGCCCTTTCTCTTTTAGACAAGGTGCAAAAACCCATTGTAAACATAGTTGGACCTGCTCTTGCAGCCAACCTTCAACCTCTGTCACATCGTCGTAATGTTGCTTCTCTTTCTCTTATCTACAAATACTATAATGGGCACTGCTCTAAAGAGCTAGCGTCTCTTATGCTATCTACTAAAATTCATTCTTGTGTTACTCGTCATTCAATTAAGTCTCATCCTTTTTCTGTTACTGTTTTTAAATGCTTTAAAAACTCTTATTTGTCTAGTTTTTTTCCTTGAACATCAGTTCTTTGGAGTTCGCTTCCTTCATCTTGCTTTCCTGATTCATATAGTTTGCTTGTTAAAAAATATACCAATACCAGACAAAACCAGTTATAAACTGCAGCTAATAAAAAAACAACAGAAAGCTTCATCAAGCGAATCCGCTGGAAAATATTTTTTTATTTAAACAAAGTGAAAGAAAACCAGTCAAAAACAAATAAAACGTTTGGGTTCAAAACAAATAACACGCCACCTCAGTGCAAAGAATCGGAAAATTTTGAAAACGATTTACTCAATTTAATAAACCGTATAAAATTTAAAAAGATACACAGCGAATTTCAGAGTAAATTAAAAAGAGACATTTTAAATATAAAAAGCAACCCTAACGTATTATTATTTGCTGACAAAACAAATAATGTTTACCAAATTTCCACTCAGGAACACACTAAACTTCTTAACGAAAATATCATAAAAGCGTATAAAAAAGCCCTACAGAAACTTGAAAACTCAATTAACCTCGAAGCCAAAAATATTGCAAACACACTCAACTTAAGCACACAAATAAAAGTAATCGCACAATCTGAAGCTTTTATTACACTAAAAGAACACAAAGACCCATTCCAAAACAATAAACCCCCCGCTAAAAGTGATTTTGGCACATTAGCAATAAATATCTTGACACTACAAATAAAAAGTAAGAACCATATTAAATTTAAACCAATGGAAAAATACCACTGATGCAATCAAATGGTTTTAAAATATACCAGAAAAACAACATTGTGTTTTTATTCAAAAATACTAAGTAATGCAATACTGTTTGCAAGAAAACACACAAGTATTAGCGACGAGAACATCAGAGTCATTAAATATTGCAGAAAGTCTTTGCTATTTTTTAACAACGAAACATGAAATAAAAAATTAGCACACGACTGCTTTGATGTCACAATGGGTTGTTTTGACGGTGCAGAAGTTTGTGAACTGGTGGGCCTATATATATTAGACTCACTATCTAAAATAATAAATAAAGAAGATGTTGGACTATATTGTGACGATGGTTTGATAGTTCTTCGGAAAAAAACTGGATCACAAATTGATAAAAAATTAATAAAGTTAAAAAAATGATCGGTTTTAAAATAGAGATTCAAACAAACCTACCCGCAGTCAACTTATTAAATGTCTCCTTTAACTTAGAAAAAAACTCTTACCAACCTTTCAAAAAACCAAATGAATGTCTACGTTACATCCACACTGAGTCCGACCATCAAATAATAAAGCAAATTCCCATATTTATCAACAACAGATTATCACAAAATTCCTCAAATGAAAAAACATTTAATTTATCTATACCAGAATACAAAGATGAATTAAGAAGAAATGGCTTCACTGGTTTTAATTTAAAGTATAATCCCAAAAAAAGAAAAAAAAAAAGAAAAAAAAAGAAATATAATATGGTTCACCCCCTGTATAGTAAGTTCTACCAATGTCGGACATATCTTCCTAAACTTAATCGACAAACATTCTCCAACATCCCATCCGCTAAGTAAACTATTCAATCGAAACACCCTCAAAGTGAGTTACAGCTGCACCAAAATTCCAAAATTACAGCTGCGAAAATTATAAAAAGTCACAACATAAAAGTCAATTCAAAAAAACCAAAAGAATACCCACCTTGCAATTGCATAAATAAAGAAAACTGCCCTATAATAGGAAAATATAATTAGCCTCCGATGTTATTTATAAATGTACAGTATTAGTACAGAAAAGATGGGCTAACCACAAACACTCATTCACAAACAAAAAGATGAAAAATTCAACCACCCTTTCAAAGTATATATGGCAGATTAAAGAAAACTCAAAAATAACACCCAAGTTCACCTGGTCAATAATTAACCAAGTCCCCGCCTACAGCATCGTAACAAAAAAATGCTTGCTTTATTTTCATGAAAAACTTTGCTTAATATCATACAAAGCTATGTAAGAATTATTAAACAAAAAAACAGAAATAATATCTAAGTGCAGTCATGAAAACAAATTCTTGCTTGTCAACCACAAGCCCAAAGATTAAAAAACCAAACCAAATATTGCAAATAGTAACATTTTATAATTGTTTTTGAACGCTACGATGTTTATTGAGTATATTTTTTAATGAAAAAAACAATGTATTTTGTACCTGATGATTGCTAAACGCATGAAACTTTTGGTAGTAAAAATTATGTAGTCATTTTTTATTTAAACTCGTCAAAAAATCAATTATATATATGTATATATATATATATATATATATATATATATATATATATATATATATATACACATACATATATATATATATATATATATATATATATATATATATATATATATATATATATATATACATATATATATATATATATATATATATATATATATATATATATATATATATATATATATATATATATATATATATACACATATACATATACATATATATGTATATGTATATGTATATATATATATATATATATATATATATATATACATATACATATACATATATATGTATATATATATATGTATATATATATATATATATATATATATATATATATATATATATATATATATATATATATATATATATATATATATATATATATATATATATATATATATATATATACACACACATACATATAGAATACATATTTTGTTTTAAATTAACATGAATACTAAAATAAAATTAATTTTACATTAATGTTTATTTAAAATTCTCATAAGTGGAATTACCTCAGTCTGGGACTGGTGACTGGGATAAATCTCAGCTTGACTTCTTTAATAATTTAGGTATGTTGTTTGCTAGTGGTTCGAACAAAGAAATAAATGAAACAGTTCATATTTTTCAGAAACTTTGCGTTGAAGTGAGTTTTTTTAATATATATTTTAATATAATTTTTTGTATATATTATAATATTGTCTTGTGTACCTTATATATATATATATACACACACACACAGTGACGGTCTGTGACAAAAAAATTAAATTGAGCCAGGAGAAAAAAAAAGAAAGGAAAAAGAAATAATGCGCTATTGCATGATAATTTTGGTATCAGATGATCATAAAAAATTGATTTTGTTTTTAATTAAGCGGTTTATGTACATGTAGCTTTCAAGATAACATCATGTCATGTTCATGTAGCTTTCAAGACAACATCATGTGATTATTTCTGAGTATTTGGTGTCGATACATCGTTTTGAGACATATAAAGTTTTTTTATGGTTCCTATAGGAAAATGACCTGAGGAATATAAATCCGTTGGGAGCCAGACCCCATCTATTGGGCGTTTTATGGTAGCCGCATTTTTATCCAAGATGGCGGCCAAAATTACAAATTCTCCTATCTTGACTTTTAATCGTCAATCAAAGCTATATATGTCTTCAAACTTACATAAATACAATAAAAGATTTCATTTTTATCTATTCTACATTTATTGAAATCCAAAATGGCCACCAAAATAATTAAATTTTTTAAAATAATTTCAAATAATTTCATTTTTTTCCAAATAATTTCATTTTTTTTTTCTGTTTTAGAAAAGATCACTCTCCAATTTTTGTAATAACTTTAACTAAATTATTCAAAACAACATCTAAAAAAATAAAAAAATAAAAAAAATCGAGCTACATCGGCATTTTTGTAATTAAACTTGCCCCAGTAAAATTGCGATAATGGTCAAAGTTACAGGTGTTATATTTATTTTTAAATATTTTAAGTTGTTTTATTGGATTTCTTGTCTCAAAATTTGCTAGTGTATATGTTTTCAGCTTTCCATTGCACACAGAACAGAAACAATGACCAAAACCATTTTTCAAAATGGCAGATTTTTGTTGCTTCATGGCAAAGTTTGAAGAGTCATTTTTGAAACTGTTTGGAATTAGATAATAAAATTTTGGAAATGTTCTTAACTTATTAATATCTTAAAGTAGTGTAAAAATCAGCAAAATATGAGACTTAGGGTTGCATTTCATAAAAAAATTGGATGCTTTCACATGGAATTGCTCTACATTAGAAAAGTATATTTCTACACAAAGTATTCTTTTACACTTAATTATCGCTCAATAAAAGTTATCCATTGATTTATCTGCTGATTTTTCTGCATTCTTCTAAACAATATACCTTTTTTTTAAATCTATTATTATCATTATCATTACATATTTTTAAGCAATGTCAATGCTGATAAAAACCAGCTTTTTTTATAACGCGCTGTAAAGCTAATTAATTTACTTATCAGCATTACATCATATTACAAAAAGAGTTTTATTATGTGTGAACTCTTTTTATAACAAAAAGTACTAAGAGGGACACCTTCCATGAACAGTTAATACTTTGATATTTTGCAGCTGTTGATGGAATCAGTATCTTTGAGAGTTACCAAATAGTTTAGGAAACCTTACTTACTAGCTGGCTTCAGATCTATTAAGCTAAATTTTAGAGCTTTACCCTCATTAGGAGATAACTAAAAAATTTTCATAGCTTCTACCATGGAAGCAAAACTCATGAGTAAAAAGAAGATCCACCATTCTTGGCAGGAAACAATCAAACACAAAATTACATTATTACACTACAA